ATATTTAATATTTTTCTTGTTAAATAATCAATACAATGAAGACCATTAAATAATAAGTAAATAATTGATTTATTTGTTTATTTCTTACAATAACATCATATACTTGACAAAGATATTTCGATATTAATAATATAGTTTCCAGCTAAGAAATCATGTTTTTTAAATATATTTATATAAATGATTTTTGACATAAATATAATAAAGTGTAACAAAATTATGTGTATCGCCTGTTGAAAATTCAGATATGAATCCAACATGATTTTACATTGTGTAAAAATAAATCGATATTGAACCTATATTAGAACACGATAAAAGGCTTTTTATATAAATTGTATCAAATATTGTTTCAACATTATTGAAACTTATTTCATTTTATATTAAGCGTTGTGTTGGTAAAGAAAAAAACATAGATCATTGATTTTTTTTTTGAAATTAATGTTTCTGTTGATGCACACCATATTGATAGGATATTAATACCAAGGATAAGATAATGAGGCATTTATAACCATACGAAATTCTAGGAAGACAATAGCCTTAGGAACAGAAGGAATAATCGGTGTTCTGTTTCAAGTGACTATCAATACAAGTTGATAAGAAAAATTCATTGTATTATATTGAGCATTTCATTTAATTTTTGTTGTTGACGACTCTCTCAAAAATGAATAACCAGTAAATGATTGAAAAATTCAATTATAAGAATTAGTTTTAAAATTTTTTATATTTCATCGATCAGTGAAAAATATAGTTAATATTAAAAATAATCAATTTTATTCGAAATATCGATATGAATCGCTGAAGATTTGTCTCTATTATAATGCAAGTCAATATTATTAAAATAAACACAAAAACAGAGAAACTTTGAATAAAATAATGAAATGAAAAAAGAAAAGCATTAATTGAACATCAATTTCTTGATGATCGCAAAATAAAGTAGATAAAGAAATTCATTCAAGATGATTATTTCTAATTTATTATTTTCCATATCGTATTCAATAATAATTAGTGCTCTTCGATAGATAAGAGTCTAATGAACATCTATGAAAAGCTATCTAAAGATATAAACCTTTTTGACGAGACAAATCTTCAAATACAACAAGCTATAGCAGATATTGATAAGTAAATCTTTTTTTGAAATTTTTTCTTTCACGATGTTTTATCACTGTTTTTTACAATTAAAGACTATAGATAACAAATTCTAAACGATTATTAACATTTTAACGTTGTAAAAAAGCTCGGATCACATAATATAATCAAAATAGTATTGCATACTTTTAAACATTAAACATATTTTTATACGTAGATGGATTACCTATATGGAATAACTATGGGTAACTTTCACAGTTTTCAATATACCAGACACTAATTTTCACAGATCTTTACATATTCAAACTAAAGTTATTAATTGGTACACATAATCATTACCATTTTTTGATACAGACAGATGTATGTATATATACTATCTAGATAAAGTCGTTGGACAAACCCAAACATAAAATTTTATATGGGTCTTTAAACCATGAAAATCTTATTGCCACTGTTGGATCTCATTAAAATTTATGTGATTATCTTTGAAATAAACTATTTGTAGATTGAAACTAAACAATACAATTAATCTTGATGAAAAGCATTATATGAAGATCTGTTTGCTTGAAGAAAGATTACTCTTCATTCACGAATAATATTTTATGACATTCCCATAATATTTAAGTATAAAATGTCTTACTAATATCTCGAATGTAGCTCATTAAAATCTTCTAATATTCAGAATTATTGGTTTAGGAGCAATAATATAAATATTTCATTCAGTGATACTTTATATCTATATCTACTATTACTTGCGAGTTCATCATTTTTTGTTTTACTGATCTCTGAATAATTTGAAACTCTATCGAATAGATGCATATGTCCATTCAAATATAAAGTCTGTTGATGATGTTCAACTAAAAATGCAAGTTTATCAACTTTGTCATCATCAACCTAGCCTCAAAGCAAAATGTAGATGCTAGAGATAAATAATTTTTCTTTTGTAAGTCTAAGTTTATGAAATCACGTTGTTCCTTTTTTTAGCAAACTATTCTATATTAAGATTTTCTTCAATTTTTCAAGTTAAACAATTTCAAAGCTAAGAAAGCTTTCGAAAAAAAACTCTATTTGCATTAAGACAAGTTTTTAAATATTCTTCCCTAACATAATAAATGTCAGCTCTAGAGAATCAGTTCTTGAATATTCGTTCGATTTTATGGTCTTTTTTAATATTATGCTAAGCATATACAACCTATAGATAGATTTTCATGATGTTAATTGCATATGAATCAATGATCATGTAGAGAAATGAAATGAATATAATGCAATTGAGTCTAAAAGGAGAGTAAAAAAAATGTAATATTACGGTTCTTCAATAGTCTTTTATTTACATATTTTATCGTCATATTTTTATTCATCGTACAGGCACGAACGAAAGAAAAAAAACAACGATAACAATAATAAAAATAATTTTGTGACGTTTTCTTTGTTGATTGATCTTTTCTGAATCGGTTGCATCTTCAGCAGAAACTCAAAAGAATCATGAACTCAACCTCCCAGCTCACGCTTTTTATTTGAGGAAGACAGTTTTGCATTTGAAAAAAGGTATCAAACATACAATACAATAACAATGGTTTTTTTTCTCAATTTTAAATCAAGAAAAATAGTCTTCATGTCTTTCATACTCCTACCGATTTTAATCAGAAAAATAACAGCAACTCTTTTCATTATTTGTTGATTGTATACGAGCATGTATGACTCTGTTTTACAATCACACAAACAAAATTAGTTATCGATCAGTACATCTTTTGTAGTATGTTTTTCATGAATATACATTTATCATACACATAGTTCTATTGATATTTGTTTGGATAGGAGAAGTTTTCCTGTTTCCATTGTAAAATATGTTAAAATTGTGTGAACAAACACAAATTGAATATTATTTCTTTATGAATCTTAGAAATTAATGAAAGAGAGACAATTATTGGAAAATAAGAAAACGAAATATCATTTTATTATATTGTTTTTCTCGAATGAATATGAATAAAAACATTACTTTAATTAGATGTCAGTGATTTAGTATATTCGGCAACTAGATATCATTGTTTAACCTTTATCTATATAAAAAACTAAAATGATGTTTATTCTTGTTTGATTCACATTATTAGCATGCCAATCGTATGCATAATGAGAAAAAAAACACACAGACGATGTCCTTGGTTTTCTTCGTTCTTCTCAACAAGAGAAAAAAGCTTCGTTTTGAAAGAATCGAAATATACAACGTATGAGAAAAGATATCAATAAAATGAAATTTATGCCATGCTTCACATGAAACGTAAATGCAAATGGTAAAAAATAATCATACCATAAATGACGTTGATGGGTTTTTCCCTTTAATTTCTTTTTTTTTGACAAGCATACCTTTGATTGATACTAGGCATAGGTTGTTATCGAGTATTGACGAAAAAATGAAATATTAACATTTCACGTCGTAGAAAAATCTAGAAAAAAAAACAAAATGCATCGAATATATAAATACGAAAGGTAAATTCTGTTCATACACATTATTCACTAATACATTGAAAATGAATCGACAACGACGACAACGTATGACTGAAAACTATTTAGTCATATGGGTTGATGCGAATATCGATATGAAAAATGAAGATTGTCAACATACACTGTCGCAATTACGAGGTATTGTTAATGAAGTCAAATTGTGCATTACAGCAGACGAATGCATCAGACTACTCAATGAAAACAAGGAGGAGACATCTTTCGTTATCTCCTCTGGTAAACTTGGACAAGTTCTTGTACCAACTATTCATGGAATGCAAAATCTTGATACTATATATATTTTTTCTCAAAATAAGGAACTTCATGAAGAATGGGCTAAATATTGGACAAAAATTAAAGGTATCAACGAATCAATCGAGTCTATATGCAAAATGTTGCAAATAGCTATCAAACAATATAATCAAAACAATATAATGGTCAGTATAATTAGTGCTAGTGCAGATGGTTCTAGGCAAAATCTTAATCAGCTAGAACCATCATTCATGTATACCCAGATATTTAAGGAAATACTCCTTGATATGAAACATGATCAACAAGCTATCAAAGATTTGGTCGCCTTCTGCCAAGAACAATACCAAGGCAATACTAACGAACTCAAGTTAATCGATGAATTTCAACGTACTTATCATCCAACATTGGCCTTATGGTGGTATACACGCCAATGTTTCACCTTTAAAATGCTCAATCGTGCGTTACGAACACTCGATGGTGACCTAATCGTTAGAATGGGCTTTTATCTATGTGATGTTCATCGACAAATTGAACATTTACACAGTAAACAGGTCAGTCAATATCATGGGGAGTCCTTTTTAGTTTATAGGGGCCAAGGCTTATCGCCAGACGATTTCGAGAAACTCGCAAAAAACAAAGGTGGTCTCATATCGTTTAATAATTTTTTATCCACCAGTACAGATCGTGATGTCTCCTTCGCTTTTGCCGAAAGTACCTTAGGAGCAAGCGATATGGTCGGTATTCTCTTTCAAATGACCGTCGATCCCACAATCTCATCGACTCCTTTTGCCTCCATCAAGGAAGTGAGTTATTACAAGGGTGAAAAGGAAATTCTCTTCTCGATGCACACCATCTTTCGAATTGGTGAAATTCAAAAAATTGACAAGACAAGTCCACTTTATCAAGTGGATCTTAAACTTACGTCTGATGATGATCAGCAACTTCGTCAATTAACTGATCATATACGAGAAGAATCTTCAGGTAGCACTGGATGGTATCGAATGGGTAAATTGCTGCTCCAAATAGGCCAATTCAACAAGGCCGAAGAATTGTACATAGCACTACTAGAACAGGTTTCTAACGACAGTGATAGAGCACATATCTATCACCAGCTTGCATGTGTGAAAAACGACAGAGGAGAATACACAGAAGCAACTTCATTTTATGAAATGTTTCTCAAAATTAAACCAAAAACTCTTCCAGAAGATCATACTTCATTGGCTCCTACGTACAACAACATCGGTCAAATGTATTACAACATGGGTGACTACTCGAAAGCGCTTGAATTTTTCGAAAAAGCACATCAAATAAAAGAAAAAGCTCTGCCTCCAAATCATCCCGAGTTGGCTACTTACTACAACAACATCGGTACAGTGTATAACAACATGGGTGACTACTCGGAAGCACTTGAATTTTACGAAAAAGCACATCAAATCGACGAAAGAGCTCTGCCTCCGAATCATCCCGATTTGGCTACTTCCTACAACAACATCGGTCAAGTGTATGACAACATGGGTGACTACTCGAAAGCACTTGAATTTTACGAAAAAGCACATCAAATCGACGAAAGAGCTCTGCCGCCGAATCATCCCAATTTGGCTACTTCCTACAACAACATCGGTGGAGTGTATAACAAAATGTGTGACTACTCGAAAGCACTTGAATTTTACGAAAAAGCACATCAAATCTTCGAAAAAGCTCTGCCTCCGAATCATCCCAATTTGGCTACTTCCCACAGCAACATCGGTCAAGTGTATAACAACATGGGTGACTATTTGAAAGTACTTGAATTTTACGAAAAATCACATCAAATCTTCGAAAAAGCTCTGCCTCCGAATCATCCCGATTTGGCTACTTCCTACAACAACATCGGTGGAGTGTATAACGACATGGGTGACTACTCGGAAGCACTTGAATTTTATGAAAAAGCACATAAAATAAAAGAAAAAGCTCTGCCTCCGAATCATTCCGGTTTGGCTACTTCCTACAATAACATGGGTACAGTGTATTTCGACATGGGTGACTACTCGAAAGCACTTGAATATTTAAAAAAAGCACATCAAATCTTCGAAAATGCTCTGCCTCCGAATCACCCTATTCTGGCTCTTCCATACAAATGGTTCGGAAAGATTTATCGCAGCATGAAAGATTATTCAAAAGCACTTGATAATTTCGAAAGATGTCTCTCAATACGTCAAAAAGCCTTACTTGATAATCATCCAGATCGAGCTACTACATACAGTGATATTGGTGATGTTCATCGATTAATGAGTAATTATGAAAAGGCACTTGCATTTCATCAAAAAGCATTAAATATTCAAGAAAATGTTCACTGTAATCTCCTGGAATGTGCAACGACATATATAAATTTAGGTGAAACTTATCGTGAAATGAAAAATTATTCAACAGCATTGACATATTTCGAAAAAGGATTAGAAATACGTGAAAAAAAATTACCAAAAAATCATCCTGATTTAGCTGTTGTATATCATAATATGGCAAAATTATATTTAGCTACACAAAAGTATAGTATGGCAATGAAAAATATTCAACAAGCAGTTCAAATAGGTCAAGAAAAATTACCTTCAACTCATCCTCATCTTTTGGAATATAAAGAAACATTTGAAAAAATTCGAAAGAAAATGTAATTTTTGTTTTCATTTACTTGTTCAATAAATTGGTTTTGATTCTTTTTCACTTCCCTACTTTTCTAGGCTCATTTTCCCGCGTACGCGCGCGCGCAACTAGGGAGAAGCCCTATGCATATGAAACAGGTACACACAGAGCGGACCACGCCAAACTGGTAGGGCAATGTACATAGGTGTACCGTACATAATGACGGCAGGGACCTACGTACATTAAAGGCCTTCCCGAGTACTACACTGCTTTCGCCATTCCAGGACGAACAGAATCTCTCTCTGGATCAGGTTACGAAGTCACCTGATAAGGCTGTGATATAAATTGGTATCTATCTTCTAACATAAATAACATAGACGTAACATAATAATACTATACACTAAATATGTACAACAACGAAGAAAAAAATTATTTCATCCGAAATAAATCATCTGTATCTCATTCTAACATTATCTCAATGTAAATATTGTTATGAAAATTTAATTTAGAATTGTTCTTTCAAGAAAACAAAAAAAAAAGTTTTTTTTAATCTTTCAACTATTAATTTATTTGTTCAAGTCTTTCTCAAGATAAATAAGATAATTTTTGAAGCAACATACCCAATCTTATTATTGGTATAAATCAATAATAAATCATATTCTTTTTTAACATTCTCATGTTTTTTATAATTTCATATAATTCATAAAAAAAACAGATGAATTCTAAAAACATCATAGAATAAATTTCTATCATAAATCAATATATCCTAACATATATTATCATTGACATCAAAAGCACTGTTAAAAAAATGAATCATAATATAACATCATTGAACGAATGAATCTCATTATAAATTAATGCGTTGTACAGCAATGAATTTAAATAACATCATTCAATAAATTTCATTCTAAAATAATACATTTTAATATAATATGATTCAATGAATATCATTGCAAATTAATGAAGTTTAACATAATATCATACAATAAGTTTCATTGTAAATCAAAACATTTTAATACATCATGAAATTGATAAATTTCATTGTAATATAATGCATTTATTGAATTGTACAGAAATGAATTTTAATAACACCCATCCCTAGATTTCGTTCTAAAAAAAATGTATCACTATATATAATATCGATCAATAAATATCATCGGAAATTAATGTATTTTAATTCTTTGCGTCCTAAATTATCTCTGCTGGACACTGACACATCCAAATAAAAACCAACATGCTCGCATACGGATCCACGCGCGCACACCTACACATCCATATCTACAAACTCGACACCCACCACATCCACACCGTTGAACATTCTTTATTGCTACATTTCAGTAAATTACATAATAATTATTAAACATGTATAAATTTCTTTTTCCTACTATAGAATTCAAAGGTTTAACATAATATTATTTAACAAATTTCATTATAAATATATACATTTTCACACATTATAAACTCATACGTAGATTGTAAATATATTTCATTTATATTATTGTAAATAATTATAAATTGATAACTGTATGTCATTAATGAAAAATCATAATGTAAAATAATACTAATTATTGTAAGTAATATAAAAAAATTGTAATCCGTGAAAAATAAATCATATGAGTGTCATGTTTTATCTTTATTGAGCATGCTCATGATTTGTTCGATCGAATCGTATGAGAATACTGGTGAAAATGTGTTTCATATATATATATGTTTTTAAACATACATTGCCAATCAAAGACATTCTAATGATGTTGATATCAATTTGACGAACGATAATTAACGATGATGTGCACATTCGAATATAACTGATTTGATTAATCATCACATGATTAATTGAAATGATGAGACACGAGTTAATTTCATCGTTTTTCATGTGCATGGATGTGAATACTTGTCCTTTGTTCATATACAGTCCTTCATGGACAATACGTATTCTTTTCTTTCTTTTTTTTGGATCAGAAAAAATTTCTATTCCTCATCATGATCATCATCATCGAAAAAACAAAAGCAATTAATATGAGTCATAAATCATAGAATTATTTTTCCGTACGACTTTTGAAAATTGATTAGAGTGCATTATTCAAATGAACATATTCGTTATCTTAGAAACACAAGATCAACAAGTCTGTTGAATGCGGCTGTACTGTCATTATATGAAAACTCGTTAAGACAAAGCCAAATAATTGTATAGAAAATTAAAAAGTTTTCATAAGATTCGATTTATATTCCATCGAATGAATATTTCTATTGAAATTAAATCACTAATATCGAATTGAAACTTTTAAACAAGTATTATTATCAATTGAAACAAAATTCTTTATTAAGAAAAAAGAATTGAAAATAAATTTCGATTTCACATGATTGATTTGGTGATATATAATCAATTTTTCAGTTGAATATTGATGGTAGTAAATAAAATATGCACACATGATTCAATCTGAACAAACACTATCAGTAGCACATGACTTATTTTCTGTCAAAAACCAATTTTTGTTTTCGTCGATATTATTATTTTTATTGTACTCGAAAAATACCTAAGGAGCGAGCTTTTATTATTCGACTCGTGTGAAAATACTTTTGGCTTCAAAACTTAAGAAATATTCTCTCAAAATGTTTCGTCGATACATGGAATTAGTAGATGAAAGTCCTACAATTGAAAACTTCTTTGCTACTAAACTGAAAGAGGAATGATTTTCTTTAAAAAACAATTTAAAATTAAGGAGTTGGTTTTACTTTTGAATAAGTAATATTGTTATTCATTCATCAGATATATTAATTCGATCATACGGTTTCCGTCATGTTGTTTGTTCTTGTTCATATGTAATTATTATTGATGGATATGAAGCAACAGATCGATCTTAAAATTTTCTTTTTTTTCCGAGTAAATAAGAGTTTTTACTGTCTACCTTGTTTTTCTATTATTAATAAATGATTACTCAAGTTTTTGCACAAAGAAAGAAAAAATACCTTTAATGTTGTTTTTTCAGATCCATGTAAATGAATAAAATTTCATATTCTGAATGAAAATCATTTTTTTTAAATATATTTAAATAAATCAACGATGAAATTAAATATAGCTAAATTAGTCATTTACAAAAATTCATATAAACAATCATTTAACTTAGACTATTATCCCTTCATATAATACTATAAGTGATTAGGTTTTGGCTCTTGACGCCTAACATCGTTGACAATTTTCTTACAAATATAAACTAATTTTCAGCTGGAGTCGAGTTTGTTACACCAATTAGAATTTCATTTAATTATGTTGATGGTTGCCATATCATTCGTGCAGATCAATAATCAACACCAGGAAAGAAAACTTCTATTGATTTTGAAAAAACCAGAAAAAAAATTATATCATAAAACAAAAGATAACAAATCTTGATTACATACTACTTTCGTCTATTATAAATATAACCGATTGACTATATGGATATCCTTTATCAATAGAACCTAATGAATCACAACGAATTCTAGCAAATGTTCCATTTATTGAATCAATTCCAAATATTTGCTGATGATAAATTATTAAATAATAATTCTGTTTTTAATGATTGAATTCTATTCATTGGTTGTAACGGACGAGAATATTTCATTTTAAAGAACTTTGTCAGAACAGATAACAAACATTCAATAGATAAAATCATCTATACCATTTTCTAGAGCAACTCATGACGTATCAAGTAGTAATATTCTGGCCACCCATATACCTGTTATGGAATGTTATAGGATTGGTCACTTTTGTCCTCAGCAACAATACTCAAGAATTTAAAAATTTCATTAAAACCAAAAACTACAGATCCCAGTAAAAATATTAAGATTTCGAATAGGAAAAAAGCTATTTGTCAGAATTATATGATATACACAATTGAAAAACTATATAAGATATCTGTTTTATATATCTTAACTGGTCAAGTGTGATTGGAAAGTTTTTATACGACATGTTTGTTCATTTTTGTCCCACTAGAAAGGATTTCCGACGAGACACTCTTGCCAAATATGAATTTAGAAATTTCATTTCAATTTTTACATTTTCACTATTATTATTCGAACCTAAATGTTGTAGCAAAGAGAAAAAAATCAACTATGTGTTTGAATCTTGGAAGATGTAAGGTAAAATTGTGATGAACTCAATGCATTATGAACACTATCACGAGCTGTCTTCTTTAGATTCATTTTACTAATACGAAACACATAAACTTAAGAATTTATCTTCAAAGATAATCAACTAGCAGAAAAACATTCTATCTTTACTTATTTAGTATTGCGACTGGAGATATATTTTGTTATGAACTTTTTTAACAATTTGACAAATTTCCTTTATGTATATATTCGTTTGATA